GTTTGCTTTCTTGCGATTGAGTTTTGTTTTGTTGTTTTGTTTTGCAGTACTGGGGCTTGAACTCAAGGCCTACACCTTGAGGCACTCCACCAGCCCTTTTTTGTGAAGGTTTTTTTTGAGATAGGGTCTTGTGAACTGTTTGCCCAAGATGGCTTTGAACCACGATCCTTCTGATCTCTGCCTCTTGAGTAGCTAGGATTACAGGCATGAGTCACTGGCACCCAGCCTGTGATTGAGTTTTGAGAGTTTTTAAAAACATGTTCTGGATATGTAAGTACTTTGTCAAATATTTGACTTGCAAGTTTTATCTCCCAGTGTGTACGTTGACTTTTCATTTTTCTTTATAGTGTTACCACAGAGCCAAAGGTTTTTCTGCTGAGTTCAGGACACAGTTTCTGTGAGCAGTGGTTCCAGTGTCAGTTTGTTTACATAGCCTCTGCACGTTTCCATGTACACATGATGGCTTGAGACTTGTGCGAAAGTGTCTCTTACTTCCAAGTTTGAAGTCTTTGGTACTGAACAGCATCCATGCATGTACGGTCAAGGGCTGAGCCCAAAATGTACTTTCTTGAGTTCTCTGGGCAATATTTCCTGTACATTTCATTCACTGGGGCTCATCTTTTCTTTCCTCTGTGCAGGAAACTTTGAATTAGTAACCCCTCTGCTGTGTACTTCCACAACTGTCTGCACATTTGGGAAAACCCACAGTTCCCTTCCCCAGAGTCGAACTCCTGCAGGCTCATCCTGCAGTTGCTGCAGATGCGCCTCACAATTGCCTGGCTCTGTGGCCCAGGAGAAGGGGGTGAGAGCAGGACAGAGAGTTCTCCACGTTCTCTCTGGATGCTCGTGCCTGAGTGCAACTGGAGGAGCTCTCTCTGTGCCCCAGTCCCCGTTTTTGGGTCGGCCCAGCGATGCTGGAGGGAAGTGGTAATCTCATCAAGGGTTCCGTGGTCCTTTGAATCCTGCTCGGCTTCCCTCATTCTACTGCTTTTTGCTTTTGAGCATCATCAAAAGTAGGGCACACTCTGCCTGCCCTCCAGGTTTGGAGCTGTGTGTCTGCATCCCCTCATATCTGCTCCTGTTTTCCCTTCTTTTTTATTTTAACCTGATTCCTTCTAGGGGTCACCCCTGTCTGTGTGCCTTAATGTTCAGTCAGATGTTGTTTAGTGAAAAGTCGAGATTATCCTCCGGCATTTCCAGCCACCAAGACTTCTGCCTGACCAGCAGAGCTCGTGTGGACAGGGGGAGACACAAGAGAGCCCTAGCAACAATGAGCCGAGGGCCTGAGGTTTGAGCTCCCTTTGCCTCACACCTGGGCCCATCAGCACAGTGGAAGTTTATCCATCTTTGCAGCTACTTTGGGGGAAGGGGATTTACTGTCCTCCTCACCTGTCATGCTGGAAGGCAGACATTGTGTAGCTTTCTGTCACTGGGGCAGAACACCTGAGATAAACAACTTATGAGGAAAGGTTGATGTGGGCTTTCAGTTTTGGAAGTTTCGGTTGATAGTCATTGGTGTGTGGTGAGGCAGCACGTCATGGTTGGAGTGTGTGGCAGAGGAGGCCTTTTTCACCTCATGGCCGTCAGAAAGTGGAGGGGCTAGGGCCCCAACATCCCCTTCAAGGGAATGCCCCCAATGACCTCACTTCCTTCTTCTAGGCTTCACTCCTAAAGGTCCCACCAGTGCCACAGGCTGGGAACCAAGCCTTCATCACATGGGCCTTTGGGGACACCCAGGATCCATGCTGTCCCCTTCCCAGGAGATTTCAGGGACTTGAGCCAGACTCTGCAGCCTGCAGTTTAAAAGTCACCTGTGTCTTCAGTTTACCTCCTGCCTGGCCACATCCTTTGTGTTCCAAATCCCTTGTGTTCTACATCCGCTTTCCTGCCTCTGCTGACAGGTGTTCCTCCTGCCCAGAGTGTCCCTCCTTTTGTGTCATCTTTCCAGGACTCTTGAAGGTTCAACTCCAGGCTCATTCAGGTCTACCCCCTCCCCAGCTCTCTCCGTACTCCTTAAGTCACAAGGACTGCGTCCCACCCCTCCTCTGGTTTTCTAGCACTTTCTGTGTTTGCGGTTTTCAGTCTGTGTATTTGGTTATGAGCTTCAGGAGGACAAGGACATGTTTTGTCCGTTGTATTACCGCTGGTGTCTTGCTCAAGTGTGCACACAGCTGGCACTTGGTAAATGTTGGAATTGATGAGTGGGTGAGCCCCCAGGGTCGGCTCAAAGCGCCTGCTCGAATGAGTTTCTTGAACACATGCTGTAGAGCGCCACCTTTTTCTGTGCTTGTTTGACAGTTTCTGTGTTGCTGGAGAGAAGAATGAGGACCTTGTGATGCCATTTAATGGAAATTGTTGGGTAGCAAATTACCACAGAGTCATGAGGCTATGTATAAATAAGTTTCAATGGGATGCTGAAGAAAAGAAAACTGATTGCAGCTCTGAAGGTGTGACTTTAGATGAATATCTGTTTGAAATTAATTCTTTAGTTTCATGAGTAGATTTTATAATTTGTAAGTACTTGACAAAAGTAGGTTTTCCACAATTGTTTTTCCCTCTCTGCCCAAATCAGTTTTATTTCTTCCTGTAGATCATCAGAGAGAAAGAGCTTCTCACTCCATTTTCTAGGAGTCCTTAAGTGGTTGGTTCTTGTTCATCCCTGTAGCACTTATAAAATGGGAGCAGCAAGAAAAAAATAGGGTTGATAAATTGAATCTACCTGACAACATTGGTAAGATCCTGTACTCAGGAGGCAGTCATAGGGAGGACCATGGTTCAAACCCAGTCTAGACAAAAAGTTAGCAAGACCCTATTACAAACAAGCTAGGCATGTTGGTGCACGTGTGTAATCCTAGTTACTCCGGAGGTGTAGGTGAAAAGATAATGGTCCAAGGTGGGCCCCATGCAAAAAAGCACAGTGCCCTATCCAAAAACTAAAGTGAAAAAGGACTGGGGGCAGGGCTCAAATGGTAAGGCCCTGTCGCCATGCTGGGTTTGTGGTGAGTGATGGCAAATAGGAGGAGGCTTGGATACAGAGGGCCTCAAATACCATGATGACAATGCTATAGTTACTCTTACTTCTCTGATAAATGTCATATTATTTCAGTGGAGGTGAAGTGTTCACTTTCATAAAATTGAAATGAAGTTGTCCTTTGGAGCCAACCATCATACTGTCCCAAGAATACTGTAGATGAGAGGGTTGCATTTTGTCCCTCAGGATAAAAATGCAGGGTTTTTTTGTTTGTTTTATTTTTCTGGTAGCACCTGAGAGGGTTTGTTAGCACTTTCTTTTTAAAAAAAATTTTAAAATGCATTTTCATTGTGATCAAAAACATAAAATTTAACATCTTACCCAAGCTCAGTAGGTCACGCCTATAATCCCAGCTACTCAGAATTCGGCTATCAGGAGGATTGAGATTCAAGACCAGCCTGGGAAAAAGTTCACAGACCCCATCTCAACAATAAAACTGGGCATGGTGGCGTGTACCTGTCATCCCAGCTAGGGGAAGCTTAAGTAGGATTGTGATCTAGGATGGCCTAGACAAAAAAATGTGAGACCCTATCTAAAACATAACTAAAGCAGCTTAACCACCATAGCTCTTTTGTGGTGTACAACACAATGGTGTTAACAGTACACAGCAGGCCTCTTAAGTGTTTTCATCTGGTAACACTGAAACTCCATCAAATAACTACTTTCCTCTGACCTCTCACCCTAGCCGCTGCAACCACTATTCTCTTTTTGTTCCGAAGATTTTTGACTGCTTTAGATACTGCATATAAGTGTCTTTTGTGAGTGGCTTATTTCATTTAGCAGGATATCGTTAGGGTCATCCATCTTATAGATGGATCCATGATGGGATCTCCTTTCTGTTCCCACCCCCACCCCTTGTGGTGCTGGGATGGAGCCTGAGGCTAGGCAGTGGCTGTACCACTGAGCTGCAGCCCAGCACTGATTCTCTTTTTTTCTGAATGTGCATACCGCATTGTACTTATTCACTATGTAGTCTGCTTCTGTCCTTCAACAGTTGTGAATAGTTCTGCTGTGAACACAAGTGTGAAACAGTCTCTGTGAGACCTTGTTTTCACTTCTTTTGGATCTATGTCCAGAAATGGAATTGCTGAATTACATGGTAATTCTATTTTTGATTTTTTAAAGAGTGAGGTCTTGCTGTGTCGCCCAGGCTGACTTTGTACTCCTGGGATTAAGTGATCCTTCTGTCTGCCGACTAGCTGGAACTGTAGGCACACGCCCCCAAACCCAGGCTCTATTTAAAATTTTTAAGGACTAGCCATACTGCTCTCTGCAGTGGCCGATACCCTCCGTCTGTGCACAAGGGTTCCAAGGTCTCCACATCCTTGCCAACACTTACTGTCTTCTGGGGTTCAGAAGGTGGCCATCATAACAGGCATAAGGAGACAGGTATTTCATTGTGGTTTGGATTTGTGGCTCCTTGATGCAGAGTCATGGTACGTTTTAATATGTCTTTGGCCATTTCAGTGTCTTCTTTGGAGAATTGTCTTTTCTGTTCCTTTGTTCATTTTAGAATCTGATGATTTGTGGGCACCAGTGTCTCACATCTATAATCTGGGCTACGTGGGAGGCTGAAATTGGGGGGATCATTGTTCAAGGTCAACCCTGGCAAGTAGTTTGCCAGTCCCATCTCCAAAATAACTAGGGCAAAATGGACTGAAGGTATGGCTCAAGAAGTAGAGCATCTGCCTAGCAAGTGAAAGGCCCTGAGTTTAGTTCCTAGTGCTGCTATGTCCCCAAGTCACTAGAGGTTACCTTGCCTAAGTCCCTGCTCCTGAAGTCCGCAACTGGGGAAGGAGTTATCCAGGATCACAGATCAGGGAGAGAAAGTATCCCCCATGCCTGGGCCAGTTCTTTATAGCTTGAAGGTCATGGGCTCACGTATTTTTGTCCGTAGTGCAGTCTGGGGTTTCAGTTGGTAGATGATAGTGAATTTACTTTCAGTGCTTTCTCGTTTTTCCTTGGTCAGCAGGAAGAAGATGAGCCTTAAGTCTGAACGTCGAGGAATTCATGTGGATCAGTCGGAGCTCCTCTGCAAGAAAGGATGTGGTTACTATGGCAACCCTGCCTGGCAGGGCTTCTGCTCCAAGTGCTGGAGGGAGGAGTACCACAAGGCCCGGCAGAAGCAGATTCAGGAGGACTGGGAGCTGGCGGAGAGGTACGGATAGGGTTTATGGTAACCAGATGGGTGCAGAGGCCTGGCAGCATCCATATACTCTTTCCTGTTTTGAGCTGCCAGCTAGTCCGAGAGAGAATAAGAGAGTCTTTTCTTCTTCTCCCCAGTGTATATTGAGTGGCTTTCAGTGGTCTCCTCATCTTTGTTTGTGTCACTCCCATCCTTTCATGGTGGGTGTGTTGGTCATAGCTCTGTCATTAGACAGCAAGCTTCTGGAACAGAAGAGTGGAGGTGAGCACTCCTTGCAGGGATGACTGTGAGGTGGTCCGCACGATGTGCCACATGGGGTTGGCATGCAACTGTCAGCATGATCTCATAGCCTCATTCTTTGTTGTACCTGACAGGGGGACATGCAGCACAAAACCTGTGCATTTGTGTACATGGTCCTTGAATTAGGGAAACTTAACTTTTCCTTAAAAATGGAGTAGCTAGTCAAAACTAGTTTGTGTTACTCAGAAATATGATTATGATAAAAATTAAGAGATGGAATGGTTGATAGGCATAGGGACTAATAAAATGTCAGGAATAATTTGAATCCTTTGCCAGAGCATCCTAGGGACTGTAAAACTCTCAACAGAAGAAAGTCAAACCAAAGAAACTTGTGGTAGTGTTTTGTCTCCAGGCAGCCCATGTTTGTCAAGTGACTCAGTGTGTGCGGCTGTGGTGAGCTAAGGGAATTATGAAGCAAACACATGGCTTTCAGGGCTTGTGGTCAGTCACAGAGAGAGTATGGACCTACGCCGACAGTCTCCTTGGGCCTCCCATGTCCTCTGGATGCAGTGTCTGATCCTGCTCACAAAGAAAAGAGAGGCCTGGAGGCAGGGACTCCCAGCTTTCTGCCGTTCCTGCATTCATATATCGACTCCGTCTCTGGATGGCGCACTCCCGTTCTGTCCCATGCCAAGACCAACTTCTCCATATGCTAGTCTTTGCTGCTTAGCTGCTTCTTGTCTGGCCTGCGTGAGATTCCCACAGCACAGTCAAGTTTCAACATGCGCCACCATCTCCTAAAAAGCTGGGGAAAAGATGGCTGGACTCAGTCTTCCCTGAATTTAGTGGGCTGGGGCAGAGGACGCCAGGTGATGCTGCTGCTGCCATCTGCACAGTGGCACTCAGAGAGCCACTGTTCTTCAGGTCATGTGGGAGGTTCGTGCAGGTTCTTCAAGAGCCACACTTGTTGCATTTATTCACTCTGCCCATTCCGTGCATTTTCCTCCTGGCTCCCCATGTCAGTGATGACACCACTGTTTATCCTTCTCACATTTCTTCTCAGTCCTCCAGCCCCTAACAACTACTTGAGCTCACAGAAGTCTGCCCCTATCTTCCAGGCAGTTATTATTTTCTTTCACTTAAACCTTTGCTTACTCTTTTTTTTTTTTTTTGGTGTAGGGAGGTGTTGAGATAAGGTCTCACTATGTAGTCCAGATTGGCCTTGAATTCACAATCTTCCTGCCTCAGCCTCTCAAGTGCTGGGATTACAGGCATGCACTACCATGCTCAACTGTAATGGACTATTATCGTCTCTGCCTCTGGACTCTCTACCCCTTGAATAGTTCAGACAGCTGTGTTGCATTATTTTCCTAAAGCACAGGTGTAATAGTGATAATTTCTTGGGTTTGTAATCTTTTTTGGTCCCCTGCCACATAATGAACACCAGCAGCCTTAGCCGTCAAGGCTCCTTACCACCTAGTGCCTTCCTGTACATCTAGCATCGCAGTCTACCACATTGTCAGTGCTCTGGCTATACTGAACTTGTTTTGAAACAGTCACATGTCACATCTATAGTTTACTTTTCGTAGAATCTCTTTTCTTACAGTACACTTGTTGCATTCATCCCTCGAGACCTGCCCCAGCTGTCACCCCAGCAGATTTGGTGGTTCTTTCCTGTGTTGTCATAGCATTTGATTTCTTCTCTCTGCAGGAAGAACCGTCTCATTCTATTATTTATATAAAATTATGTACAAATCTCCATTCCACCTTTGAGCTTATGAAGGAAAAGAACTAGACTTTACTTCATACAGTCACCGAATGACCATGATCCATGGAATAGGTCCTGTTTGAAGTCTGTTGCAATCTGTTGCAGCATATCACAGCTGTGCATCAGAGAATCCGAGAGCTCAGACCTACTTGGTATATTTAGCCTCTGTTCATAAAAGTTTTAGCTCTTCCTCAGTTAGGCTCAATTAGCAATAACTTTGAGGTATAAGGAAAGCTTGGAGAAAATTCAAATCATTCGTAATCCTTTCTTGAATTTCAGACTTCAGCGGGAGGAGGAAGAGGCCTTCGCCAGCAGTCAGAGCAGCCAAGGAGCCCAGTCCCTTACATTTTCCAAGTTTGAAGAAAAGAAAACCAATGAGAAGACCCGCAAGGTCACCACGGTGAAGAAGTTCTTCAGTGCTTCCTCCAGGGTTGGATCCAAGAAGGGTAATTTTCTTTTTTCATTTATTCATATATGCATACATTATTTAGGCCATTTCTCCTCGCTGTCCCGTGCCCTCTTCCTGTCTTCCCCACTCCCTTCACTTCCAGGCAGAACCTGTTTTGCCCTCTTCTCCAATTTTGTTGAAGAGAAGACATAAGCAATAATGAGAGAGACAGCGTTTTTTCTAGTTGAGATGAGGATAGCTATACAGAGAGATTCCTAGCACTGCTTCCATGCACAAGTGTATTACAACCTGAATTGATTCATCTCTACCTGAACTCTTCACTACTTTCCGGTCATCTTCCCATAGTGACCTCTGTCGTTTTAAGGTTACTATATTAGCTCCTCTGCAGTGGGCACATCAAACACTTTCAAGTTTTGGGTTTCCTACCTTTCCCTACTCCTGTATGTGTTCCTCCTTTAGCATGTGACCCATGTCCAATAATATTACTGCATTTGTTTTAGATCTAAAGTCCACATATGAGGGAGAACACACGATTTTTGGCTTTCTGAGACTGGCTAACTTCGCTTAAGATGATGTTCTCCAGTTCCATCCATTTACTTGCAAATGATAAGATTTCATTCTTCTTCATGGCTGAGTAAAATTCCATTGTGTATAAACACCACATTTTCTTGATCCATTCATCAGTTGTGGGGCATCTTGGCTGTTTCCATATTTGGCTATTGGGAATAGTGCTGTAATAAACATGGGTGTGCAGGTGCCTGTGGAATGACCTGAGTCACATTCCTTTGGGTATATCCCTAGGAGTGGGATTGCTGGATCATATGGCAGATCTATGTTTAGTTTTTTTAGAAGCCGCCATATTGTTTTCCGAGTGGTTGTACTACCTTGCATTCCTACCAGCAGTGTATGAGGGTTCTTTTTTTCCCACATCTCGCCAACATTTCTTGGTGGTGTTTTTGAGGATACCTATTCTAACGGGTGAGGTGGAATCTTAGTGTGGGTTTGATTTGCATTTCCTTTATGGCTAAAGATGGTGAGCATTTTTTCATGTGTTTTTTGGCCATTTGAATTTCTTCTTTTGAAAAAGTTCTGTTTAGTTCAGTTGCCTATTTCTTTATTAGTTCATTGATTTTGGGGGAGTTTAGTTTTTTGAGCTCCCTGTATATTCTGGTTATCAGTCCTTTGTCTGATGTATAGCTGGAAAATATTTTCTCCCACTCTGTGGGTGATCTCTTCAGTTTAGAGATCATTTTTTTTTGTTGCTGTGCAGAAGCCTTTTAATTTCATGTAGTCCCATTTGTACATCCTTTCTTTTAGTTGCTGAGCTGCTGGGGTTCTATTGAGGAAGTCCTTGCCTATACCTATTGCTTCCAGAGTGTTCCCTGCTCTTTTCTGTACTAGCTTCAGAGTTTCAGGTCTGATATTAAGATCCTTGATCCATTTTGAGTTGATAGTAGTACAAGGTGATAAACATGGATCTAGTTTCAATTTTCTGCAGGCAGGTAACCACTTTGCCAAGCAACATTTGTTGAAGAGGCTGTCTATTTTCCATCGTATGTGTTTGGCACCTTTGTCAAAAATAAGGTAGGCATAGCTGTGGGGATTCATGTCCCGGTCCTCTGTTCTGTTCCACTGGTCTTCATGTCTGTTTTTGTGCCAGTACCATGCTGTTTTTATTGCTATGGCTCTGTAATATAGTTTGAAGTCAGGTATTGTGATACCTCCAGCATTGCTCTTTTTGCTGATTATTCCCTTGGCTATTTGCGGTCTCTTATGTTTCCAAATGAACTTTAGGGTCGATTTTTCAATCTCTGTGATGAATGTCATTGGGATTTTGATGGGAGTTGTATTAAACATGAAGATTGCTTTCGGCAGTGTAGCCATTTTTACTATGTTGATTCTACCAATCTGTGAGCACTGGAGATCTTTCCACTTTCTGTAGTCTTCCTCAGTCTCTTTCTTGAGGGGTTTGTAGTTCTCCTTGTAGAGGTCATTCACATCCTTTGTTAAATTTACTCCTAGGTTTTGATTTTATTTTGAGGCTATTGTAACTAGAATTGTTTCCATATATTCTTTCTCAGTTTGTTCTTTGTTGGTGTATAGAAAGCTAATGATTTTTGTAAGTTGATTTTATATCCTGCTACCTTGCTGAAGCTTTTTATGGTGTCTAGTTTTTGGGTAGAGTTTTTTGGGTCTTTGAGATACGGGATCATGTCATCTGTAAATAGGGATATTTTGACAGTTTCTTTACCTATTTGTATTGCTTTTATTTCTTCTTGCCTAATTGCTCTTGCTAGGAATTCCAGTACTATGTTGAATAGGAGTGGGGATAGTGGGCACCCTTGTCTCGTTGCTGATTTTAGGGGAAATGGTTTCCATTTTTCTCCATTAAGTATGATGTTGGCTATATGTTTGTCATATATGGCCTTTACAATGTTGAGGTACATTCCTTCTATTCCTAGTTTTCTTAGAGCTTTTATTATGAAGTAGTGTTGGATCTTATCAAAGGCTTTTTCTGCGTCTGTTAAGATGATCAAGTGGTTTTTGTCTTTGCTATTATTAATGTGCTGTTTTACATTTATAGATTTGCATATGTTGAATCATCCCTGCGTCCCTGGGATGAAGCAGACTTGGTCATGGTGAATGATCTTTCTGATATGTTGTTGGATTCGGTTTGCCGTTATTTTAAGGAGGATTTTTGCATCGATGTTCATTAAGGAGATTGGCCTATAGTTTTCCTTTTTGGAGGTGTCTTTGTCTGGCTTTGGGATGAGTGTAATACTGGTTTCATAGAATGAGTATTCCTTCCCTTTCTATTTCATGGAAAAGTTTAAGGAGAGTTGTTATTAGTTCTTTAAAGATCTGATAGAATTCAGCAGAGAATCCATCAGGTCCTGGACTTTTCTTTTTTGGAAGACTATTGCTGCTTCAATTTCATTTCATGTTATAGATCTAGTTAGGTGGTTAATATCCTCTTGATTCAGTTTTGGATGGTCATAAGTATCTAGAAATTTTTCCATTTTTTCACAATTTTCCAATATATTGGAATATAGATTCTCCTGGATTTCCGTGGTGTTTGTTGTTATCTCCTCTTTTGCGTTTCTGATTTTACTAATTTGGGTCTTTTCACCAAATGGCACCCCAGGGTAATTTGGTCTGTCCAAAGGCAGGAAGGGAAATAATACTCTGGATAGCCCTCAAGACTCTTGCTGCTCTTCCAGAGTGATGACAGTTGCCACCTGCCTTTGTTTAATTGAAAGGCAAGCTTGCATCTAACCAAAAATGAAGCCCTCCTCTGTGAGGAACACACCCTCAGCTGGATGTGATGCTGCAGCCCCAGCTATTCAGGAGGCTGAAGTGGGAGGATGGCCTCAACCCAGGATTCTAGACCAGTCTAGGCAACATGATGAGGTCTGTCTCAAAAACCACAAAACAACAAAAAGAAACATAATCCTTTTGTTCACATGATTCCTTTGATCTATCTTCTGATTGGTTATCAGTTGTGGCACTTTTCTCTCTAGTAATAAGGAGGAGAATAGTCAGAACTGTGAGAAATTAAGTAAGAATGTGCTTGGCTCATGGGGCAGAGGTTGGCTACAAGCATAGGAATCCCTCCTAGTCTGCGTGCCAGCTCTGATGTTTCCTAGACGTGTGACCTTGCAGGCTAATATCCCTACCCTGTCTATGCTGAAAGGCAAGCAGTTGACATCAAAGAATGGCTGGGGATTAGGGGAGCCCCATGGGTAAGAGCTTAGCACAGTGCCTGACACCCCGAGTCCCCAGTAAGTGCCAGCTGTGGAAATGCAGAATGTGTCCTGATAGAAAAGCCTCTGCTGCTGGGAGCTCAGGGCATTGAGCAGAGCCAGTCACTCTGGGTGGCTTAAGTTCTGTCTCCTGCCTTGGGAGAGTCTCAGCCTTGCAGGTTTGTGATCACAGTGAAGTGGGATGTGCTTATCACAACAGCTGAAGTAGTAAAATGTTACAAAACCCTCTTTACCAAGTACTTCATGTTACAGATGACTGTATGAAGGCCCATAAAGTTTAAGGCCCATACTGAATGGTGTCTTAGAACTTAGTTCTCTGAACTCTGATTCAAGTGATTTTGTTTTGTTTTTAAATATAGTACAGGGGTTTAAACTCAGGACCTCCTGTTGCCGTACAAGTGCCCTACTACTTGAATCATACCTCTCTCTCCCAGCCCTTTTTGCTCTTTTAGATAGGGTCTCATGTTTTTGCCTGGGTGGCTGCCAAATGGAGAACTTCCTACCTCTGTCCCCTGAGTGGCTGGGATTACAGGTGTGTACCATGCCTGGTTTGTTTTCTCAGATGGGGTCTCACTAACTTTATGGCCAGGCTGACCTCAAACCTTAATTTTCCTATCTCTGTCTCATGAGTAGCTGGGATTACAGGTGTGAACCGTAATGCCTGGCCCTCCATATTACCTCTTCACCTCAAATATGTATATACCTTAGAAACCCAGTTCATTTATATATGAGTGATTCATTTTATATACATATATGTGTATAACTCTGAGTGTGAAGATCTGTTACATCTGTATTTATTTAATATATACAATAACATCACAGTACAATATGTATTAAAATGTTAAATATAAAATATTTGGATATACCAAATGAAGCCCTCTTTACGTAATAGTCATGCACTTTTCCTGACTCCCCTTGGTGGTTTTAAAAAAAACTTACACCCCGCCAAAAAAACATCCTATCCTAAAAGCCCCTATACGGTGTGGATCCTGTCACACAGGAAGATTCATAATCCAGTACAGAGCCTATGTTGAGAAGAACTGATTCCAGGTGATTTTATTGTAAAAATGTATATAAATGACAGTTTTTAATTTTTCTTCTGACAGTGTTGTCTTTTCTGTCTAATGCCAAGGTTCCCTGAACCCTGCATGGATCTGTCTGAGGGAGCTTCTGCTTGGTTTGGGAGGTCTTGCCGTGGTCTTGGTGTTGCACACAGCTGGTAGCAGAGTGTCATTCACTTCGCCACATTCTTCCTTTAACAGTTTTGGCCTTG